CTGATGCTGCGGAGCTAGATCACCACGGTAACTGATGCTGCGGAGCTAGATCTCCACGGTAACTGATGCTGCGGAGCTAGATCTCCACGGTAACTGACGCTGCGGAGCTAGATCTCCACGGTAACTGATGCTGCGGAGCTAGATCTCCACGGTAACTGATGCTGCGGCGCTAGATCTCCACGGTAATCGATGCTGTGGAGCTAGATCTCCACGGTAACTGATGCTGCGGCGCTAGATCTCCACGGTAACTGATGCTGTAGAGCTAAATCTCCACGGTAACTGATGCTGCGGAGCTAGATCTCCATGGTAACTGATGCTGTAGAGCTAGATCTCCATGGTAACTGAGACTGCGGGGCTAGATCTCCACGGTAACTGATGCGGTGGAGCTAACCTGGTCAGGAGCAGGTTATGTTCAGAGTTTCAGATTTAAATCGGCTGACAGAGCGTCTCCCTTTAACCAGATGGTTTCCTGACTATTATTTATGAGCGATACAGATTCTCAGCTGAGGGAATGTGTTTTATCTGCTAACATGCTGAGTTGTGCGTTACTAATATGACTGAATTACTAATATGACTGAATGAATCTGTGTAGTTACAGCATCACACACTCTATACCGCGTTGCCATGGGAACCAGACGTGTATTTAGCTGGCGATGCAGAAATCACATAAATATGTTTTAGTGTTTACTCTGCTGGTACTGCAGCTGATAGAACAGATTATAAAACTGACTATTCTCTGTAATAAATACCAGGAGAATAATCCATCAACGACATTAATTCACTCTGATTGGGCCAAAAGTTAAAGTGATTTCCTGCATTATGGGACAGAGTCAGACCTAAATGACCTTCAGTACAAGATCAGGTTTAAATAAATTAAATTTAACAGCTTTAATGTGCAGCTGCATTAATTATTAAAATGAATATATGAACACGTTGAACAGTTTTCTACCAGCATTCCTGTCTTCACCATTTGCAGTAGCGGTGATTTTACCGTCATACTGTTTATATTCCTCATTGTTCTCCATTAAAACAACGTGTTGACTGAAGCAGCTGCACATGATCGATTCGTTTAGTGCAGAAGAAGAGTCACGTGACGCGTTAAACGCCTCCTTTTATATGAAGCAGGAAGTCTGAGCTGACAAATAAAGTTGAAAACGTGCTTCTGATACCTGTGATCTCTGACTGGAGTTCAGGTTTTGTTAAGCCGGCTAACAGAAAGAAAGCCCGGCTTT